GATTGCAATAAAAGTAAAACCTCTTCTAATATAAAATGTGTCCCTTTTAAGGAAAATCCACTTTCAAAACAATTTAAAGTTTTATAGAAGGAAAATCATTTATCCTCAAGGAAAAACTATTTAAATGAAAAATATCTTAAGAAAAATATCGAAATACTCAAAGTTATAAAATAAGTTAGGCTATGCCTATTTAAATTAATCTTAATGTCATATACATAAAAATAACTTACACAAAAATATACATGAAAGCAATTGTTTTTTCAAAATACTTTCTAAAATAATAAAAGCAAATTATCATTTTGGTAATACATTAATCCACCTTCACATCAAAAGCACTGAGGTCGCATACGAGATTTATACTGGAAACTCTCAAGCTGAGCGGCTGCTACTTTAATCTACTAATCTGAAATGGGGGGGGGATTTTATGAGTTAAAAGCCCAATAAGTATTAAGTTTAAACTATAAACTTGGGTCCTAAGACTCCTAGATCTATACTCACAAAGAGCATGAGATACAACGAAACCAAATCATATAATATTTTAATTCTCGGTATTTAAATAATAACTTAATATCTCAAATCATAATCACACATGTCAAGAGATAATTAATGACATTTAAATCAAATTCATATAATAAAATCATATGCTCACAAATACGATGTCACAAGAACAATGCATAAAATCGAAGATCACACAATGTTATAGAGTCCACTGATGTGTGTTAGCAACACTATACTGCAACTAATCATAGTAGTAACCCTACTGCGTAGAGGTCCACTAAATACCTTGAAGGGTCTACTGAATACCCCAAGCTTTAAACTTAGGTCCATTTACTCCATAGCCACAAACACATACACATGTCAAATAAGTTTAGAATATGTCCAAAATAATATTAGAATATTATTCCATTTAATGTTCTCATTAATCAATGGTACTGACAATTCAAATTCATACTGATATCCACACACAAAGCTCACATATGGTACTGACAATTCAAATTCATACTGATATCCACACACAAAGCTCACATATTCCATAAAACTTCCTAATGAAAGAAATTAAAGTATAGTGCGTGAATAGTGACACGTGAACAGTAACTAATGAAAGAAATTAAAGTATAATGCGTGAATAGTGACATGTGAACAGTGACATGTAAACAGTAATACATAAACAGTAACACATGAATAGTAATATGTAAACAGTGTGTGAACAATTATTAGAAAAGTAGCCATTTGCTTCCAAGCTCACGCATAGTTTCAATAAGAACCAATTAACTATATAAATTCTAACTTAATTTTGCGAGGGATACAAGCAACAACAGCAGTATTAATCAATAAAATCCACACTAAATCAAGCATGGGAAAAAAAAAAAGAAAAATGATTTATCATCCATCCCGCACAGGCCCCAAAAATTTAAGATATTTTTAATGAAGTTTTAATGCCCAAAAATCTTATAAACTAAAGGATTTGGTTCAAATCTCACCAATTTAAACTAATGGTGAACATCTAACAAATCTATAAACTACCCAAAACTCTAACCCAAATTCATAACCAAAACTTATACTTACCTAAAAATCAAAGCATCAAGTAGTAAAAATTGCTAGAAATTTTTAGCTGGAGAGCATAGATTTAGCACCACACCAAGCTGGAAGGAGAAAGAAAGGCACAAGGGGCCAACGGGAAGAAGGATATAGAGGACTGGTGGGTTTGAGAGCCTTCTAGAGGTTTATCCAAGTCCAGTCGAAAATATTTCCTTGGTTGGTATAATGTCGTGTGGTAAGAAAAATTGGAATAATTGAATTAAGGCCCTTCAACTCCTACTAAGGTTTACTTAAAACCCCAAACTTTAAATCCAATCAATTTAATCCCTAAAACTATAAACTAAAGGACCCTAATTTTTAATCTTTTCACTAAAGCATGTGGGATGTTACATCAACTGACTAATCCAACCGATCAACTAAAAAAAATAACTTGTTTAGTATTTTTATTAGATTTTACTTTGTATTTTACTTTTATTCTATTCTTAAAAACTAATCACCACAACATTAACTTGAAAATCATCATTTAAGCAACTTAAAATAATAAATTTAATTAAATACATATAATTTTTAATATCTAAACTAATAAATATTAAAAGACATAATATAAGATAAGTTCACCAAAACATGATAATAAGGGAGAACTCAATTTTAGACTAAATTCACTACAAAATAAGTCTTGAATATAATAGAAAGTCTCAAATCAAATCCACAACAAAGACAAATGTCAAATAAATGAAGCATCATTACTAATTCATTTGTTTTGGCATGAGGAGCATCTTCATCAAAGTAAACATGTAGCTCTCGAAAGTCATGCTCAGTATCACTATCACTATCACTATCTTCAAGTCCATCACCAATTGTTTCTAATTCAATTCCTTCACTAAAACCACCAACTTCCTCACCAACTTGCTCTTCCTCAATGCCTTGAAATTGAAATTGTAGAATTATGCAACAAAAACAAATGTAAAAAATAAATCTTAATGGTTTAGTCATTAAATGATATAATGATATAATGTATTAAAAATTAAATTAACTAATGACTAACCTTCTTTTTTATTAATATGACAAATTGGAATTGCTCATTCATTATAAATCAAATTCTCCAATTCATCATAATCAAGAATTGGAGAATCATCTTCTTCTCAATATCCAACAATCAACATTGTCTATGCTCTTATAATGAATAGAATCAAAGTAAGTCTTCTTTTTGCCATCAATCCTATAATTCAAGATTTGTAGAGATTAGTAAAAAGATACAATTAATAAAGCTTAAGTAGAAAAACAAACTATAATTTAAATAAATATAAAATAAAATACCTATTTATCAAACGCAAATTGTAATGTACATAGACAAGATACTTTAATATTTGATGCTCTAATTTATTTCTTTTCTTGGTGTATATCCTTTCAAAAACCCTCCAATTTCTTTCACAACCCAAAGATGATGAAGTTTGGCTTAAGGGTTTAATAGCCTAATTTTTAAGAGTTGGAACACTATATCCAAAATATTTCCACCACTTATCTATCCAGAAAACAAGAATTATATAAAATGTTAGAAAATTTATAATTAAAATTATTTTTCATAAAAAAAGTATTAAAATTATAAATTAAAACTTGGAATCTTACTGGATTTCATATCTTTTGAAGATTCAAGAGCACTTGGACAAGCAAAGCTCTCCAATCTCTTCTCATACAACTCACATTCATTTCAAAATTTTGTCTTTCAAGAAGCAATTTTTGCATCCACAACATCCATAAACCTTTTCATCACTTTTTGCTTGGTACAAAAATGATCTTTATCATAAAAGAAAGAAGGATTCAAGTAATAGGCAGCGGCATGGATACTTTGACGAAGTTGCCTATCCCACCTTTCCTTGATAATTTTTGTATAAGACTTGTATAAAGACTTCCTACTCATCAACATAGTCTTAATTACTTTTCTCGCCCTACACATGCCATCATAGACATAGCCAAGAGAAAGCCTTTCATTACCATCAGCAATTCTAAGCAAGCACATAAGTGGTGCCATAACTTTCCCAACAAGTTGACAATTACTCCAAAATTTGTTATCTAAGACAACAGCAACAACATCGTTTGCCTTCCAATCTTTGTAGTATCTAGACTCTTTAAATTCCAAACTAGTTACCAATGCTTGCAAATCATGCTTGTGGTTAAGAATGCTTTTCAATGCAACGAATGTAGTGGCAAAACGTGTTGGCCCTGGACATATAATTTCAATCCACCCTTCTTTTTTTCTTAGCCAAGTTAAGAGAAAAGCATGATTATATATAAATTTAGTCACCAATGATGCACTAGTTGCCAATTTACTCACAACATCCAACTTGCCAATATCACTTAATATCAAATTTAAGTAATGCGCAGCACAAGGAGACCAAAAGATAGTTGGATACATGTCATTTAACAATTTTTTAGCTTTCTTATAATTGTTGCATTATCAATGACCAAATGGACAACATTACTAGCACCAACATAATCAACCAATTCTTTAAACAAATAGCAAAGCATGCTATCATCTTTGACCACATCAGAACCATCAACAAATCTTACAAAGGTTATCTTTCTAGGACAACAAACAAGAAAATTAATCAATTGTCTATTTTTTTTTATCTTGCTAACCATCACTCATAATTGTACAACCAGTTTCTTCGTAGACTTTTCTATAAGAATCAACCAATAACTGAACCTCCTTTTTTAAATCTTTCAAAAGACTAGTTCTCAAAGTATGATCCCATGCAATATCAGCTTTTCCTCTACATGATTGCTATGATTGTGTAGTTGCAACAGTTGAATTTTGTTCGGAAGATGACATTCTCCTATAATTTACACAAATATATAAAATTGTTAAGAAAACCTCTAAGAATCTAAGTATGATAAATAAAAATTTATTTGAATTAAAGATGCTATATTAAAATTTAAAATCAAGGCATAATAGATTAGGACAAAATTAAATCAAGCATGAAAGATTAAGATATTCATATGTAATTTTTCTAAGTCTTACACCAATACCAATTAATAAAGAATTAATTTCTATCAACAATTACCTAGCTTGTATCACATGTAAATTTGAGAATGAAATCCAAGGGAAAGCTAAAAATCTTACTCAAGTTACATGTCACGAACTACTTCTGTTCAGTAATGAAGGGGACAATTTGTTTGCTTTACTACCTCTGTTTGGTCCGGTGAAGGAGAAGAAGATGAGTGGTGGAGGTGTGAGCAAAATCAGGGGAGATCTGTTTGCTTTGCTACTTCTGTTTAGTCTGGTTAAAGAGAGGAAGATGAGTGGTGGAGATGTGAGCAAAATCAGGATGCTGACGGGGGAGGAGAGGTGGTGGGCTTTTGATGGAGGAGAGGTGGTGAGCTGTCGACAGAGGTGCAGGGAGATCAGGTTGCTTTGTTGCTTGTCACGCCCCAGAACCCAAATCCGAGGCGCGACAGACGCCGTGCACTCGTGAGACGGGTCCCACAAACGCACAAGGCTCGGAACTTATTCAAAT